ATATAGTGGGCTCCCGCGTAGCCACCCCTGACCAGTGGGCCACTGATTAGCCATCCACACCCATTGGTGGGCTAGCGCTTAGCCACCTGATTTAGAGGGTCACGGTGCTCAGCCACCCCTGACACACAATTAGAGGCACTGAATAGTCATCCACACCCCCCTACATGTAGTGTGCCACCGCTTAGCCAGTAAAACAACAATGTGACTGTACGTTTTGAAGTCATATCATGTGGCATACGGCTTCCTATTCCTTTTTTGACCATCGTCCATAGTTTTGCTATGATCAGTTTACTGAGATTCTAGGCTAAGGTATGGTTTTCGTAGGTCATGCACAACCTTCCTGGTGTAGAGCCTGATAGTAAAAGGTCACGCAACAAGCTTCCGGAACCCTCGAGCTGTCTGCCTATGGGGCCGTCCCATCACGTTCGGTAACTTTTGGAAGATTGATCTCACCTTATGAAACACTCATGTTGGAATTTTAAGTTAACCTTTGTCCTCCTGAGGTAATATCTTGGAAACGCCACCTGGAGATGGGTTTAAACAGGGATTTAATTAACGACCTTTCACTACCGGCAATCATGTCTAGGTCTCCTTATTCATGCACGTGTTTCCATTCCCCGTGCTTACACGAACAGGAGATTGTACAACGTTGCAAAGATCTACCTACCTGCAGTCGATGGGTTCTAGGTTCAGCCGAGTTGACCCGACGCAGTTCTTGTCAACAAAAGTTATATTAAACATTATAGTCCGTCGTAAAAGCAGGTTATTGTTTTAAGTTGATTTCTTTACAAATTGCAAAATCCTAAAAATATTCTGGTCTGTTTTTAATTTGGCTTTAATACTGCAATGAAGTTCAATTCCGTAACTGTTAATCTTCGTACGAGACCACCGCATTAGACTGTTCTTGATGTATTTTAGATTTTAAGAGGAAGTAACAGGTCAATTTTTAGCAGGAGATTTGTCTTTAGATCAGCTAATGTTTCAGTTTCTATGAACTGATATGCTGCCAAATATTTTACAAAAGGCCTTTTTAAAGGTTGAATTTCTAAGAGGTAACAGAACGAAAAGATGTTACACAAATTGTAAAATTGTTTCATGTTATTTCTCCTATGCAAGGGTTCCGGAAGCGCGCCATCAGGGTTCATCTTTCAGGCTCAATTATATCGTAGGCCTACTGCACTTGTACATACAAGTGCACGCACAATGTAAATGTACATGTGTGTACAGTACATGTACCGTGCAACCTGACAACTGAGCGTTCGCGTCATATGCTGACCTAGTAGATAAATGCACACCCACTGCAAATCCTTTATCAGTCACGTAGCGGCAAATACGACCTTTGGGTCACAATATTGCAAAAAATGCACTGACTGTGTTTCCATTCGTAGATGGAGTTCCCAGAATGGAAACGTTTACCTGTTGTCGCCGAAGGTTTATATTCTTCGGTTCTATAGTGGGTGTGCTTGCACTGACCACCATTCTCACAGCAAGTAACTATCTTAGACGGACCAGCTGGGGTGAGTAATGTTTGTGTTGCATGACTGTGGACAATCCTCCAGTGTGTCTGAGATACTGAAATATTCAGTTGGAACCACCGACCACGGCAAATAGACGAGCCAGCGCTTGACTGTGTACTATCCACAAAGAAAACAATGACATATTATCCTCGGTGATTAATTAAAGGCACTCATAGGCCTATGTTTCATCCATCAAACACTCGAGACAGTCCTCTGGAATGATAATAATAATAATAACAAAAAAAAATCCATGGCCTATTCCAGAATGAAACTCTGATTTCTGATATGTCATGTCTGCTTTGAAGGCCGTACATTATATTAACGACCATCAATAAATCTTGCCTACGTGCGCATTTTAGTCGTAACACAGCATGGCTGCAACCACGCAGTATCCACGATACATGTACACGGAATAACACAAAAGATGGTGGCTAGGCGCACTGCGTGATACGTGTGATTTACGGTATTATAGGGTGCAATGCACTAATTCCAGCTCCATTGGAAACAGTGTAAAATGAACAAAGTCTGGAGCCCCATTGAGGGCAACCCAGGTCCTTGAGGCCTCTCAAACAAAAAAAAACAAACAAACAAACAAGGTGTTGTATGGTGCTTCATATTTCATTTGATTTTCAAGTTTTAGTAGGTATTAGCCCCAAACAAACCCGCCCCCAAAATGTGAATGTTCCCAAGTCTTCTCAGAAGCCATCAAATGACATCCCTCGATTTTACCAGTTTTTCTGTCAATTTTGCAATAACATTTTTGTCTGCTTTGCCCCCAGATGGGAGCAAGTGAATCTATGGAGATGACCCATTTTATATCACCGATTTAAATTGCAATTTAAATCAATGATTTAAATCAACATATTTGATTGGAGGATGTTGCAATTTTTATTTGTTTTAAATGATTTGTAACTTTTCCAGGCTTTGCACATTTTAAAGCAACCCCCCCTCCCCATTAAGCCAATTAGTTCCTAGTTATAATAAAAGTAAAAAAAAAAACACATATGCATTACACAGGCACACGTTACACCTGACAGGGTTATTTTTTTCAATTGAAGTCACTTGTTTCGTTTCAGGACTGTCCGTGTGCGCCTAAAGCCGAGAAGAATCCATCTCTCTCTCTCTCTTTCTCTCTCTCTCTTTTCTTTGTCATAAGCCTAGTGCCCTTTGCAAATAGTCACTTCGTAATCAGGTTACACATACTTTGGTCTAATACACCAATCAATCTCTGAAGAAGACATTCTTCAACCCCCTCTCCCTTAAAACCCCAAACAATTAGCCTTGAAGGCTTTGGTTGTCTCAGTCATGAGGTCAGAAAACTGCAACTGTACACAGGTCCAGATCCAGAACTAGGGTTCAGGGGAGTTGAAGAGGCTTAATGATTCGGCGATTTTACATAACACGTAATGGCCTCAGTCTCTCAGGGATGAGGCTTCATTTTTTTAAAACACTGTTTGGAGGGAAGGGAAATGAAATAGACCCCCAACCGCCTTTAGTTTTCATTTTTTTGTTTTCACGATCAACATGTAGCCAAACGGATCCAACCTCGACACCGTGTTCGGTGACAACGTGCAATGTGATGTGATCACATCAATCCACATGCTCCTCTTTGAAATGGGCCTAAGTCACTCTCATTTTGCGTACTAGAGAGTGCCATCTCAAGGGCCTTTGCTTTTGTTTACCACGAGGTACGGTATGCACAAAGGAGGTTTGCCCGTGGAACAAAAGAACTGCCCTGCAAGATGGCTATCACGCAAAGTGTCTAATCACGTAGGCAGCCAAAGCATAAATCTCAGCCTTGATTTAATTATATTTTTAAACTTAAAGACCGTGGTATTTATTATCAGGCGTTTTGGTAATTTTCCCAGATATTGTAACATTCAGTCGATAATTCTTTCATTTCTATATAGCGACAACCAACCATTTATTTAGCAGTTACCTGATGGCCAAGACACGAAGTTGACATTGAAAGAGCAAAATAGCAGACCCTATGACATCACCAAAACTCCACGCACAAGTTCACACCCTTGAATTTAAATCTTTCTATACCCGTCTCAACGACTAAACTGAAAAAGAAACATATTTGTCAAGTTTATACTCCATTCTCCACTTAAAAAATTAGTGCACGCATATGCATAATATGTGAATTAATTTTGCGCTACGCACGCGAGTTCATCATGCAATCACGCACTCTACTAAGAGAGAGGTCTCTTATCGGCCACCACAGCCACAATCAGCGGCCATGAACTGTTTTCACCCTCTTGGTGTTGTGAGTACAGTTCACGGGCCGTTTCCTCAGCTAGTTGGAAAAGCACAAATTCTTTGTGTTCACAACCCCGCTCCTGAAATAACTCGGACTGGGTTGTTTGTACCCTTCGTCCATGGGTTGCTGTACCCCAATGGTTCTGCTTCACCAGGAAACAACCGCTAGAAAGGGACCATTCACGTCTCGTCGCGAAATCTGTTTTTTCTCTGTTCAGTCCTGACTACACTTACCCGGGTTGCCACGCTCACGTCGGGCGACCTTGCGCTGGTGTGAGGAGCAAAGTATAAGCCTGTTCAGCGCAATTTTGACTCCTGCTCAAACTAACTATACATTTATATTCATTGCTTATAGCTGATTTAGGGAAATCAGCTGTAAGGAAAGTACAGTAAGAGTACACACCATAGGAGGTTTGCGGAAAGCAATGAATACACTAATTTTAGGCAAGAGCCAAGACTGCTTCAAACATGTTCATGTACTGATAGTGTCAAACTTTCTTCACGTGTGCATACTGTCCACTGAGCATCCACTTAAAGCACACATGTAAAATAAAGTGTGGTTTCGTCAGAACAACTTGTTGATAGAGTTGCTTGCCCCTTAATTTTTTTCCTAAGAACAATACTCCTGAAATTAAAAACAAATGTTATAAAATACTGTAATGCTGTAAACACAACATGTCAAAAGGCGATAGGCCTATTCACAAGTGCCTTTAAAAAAGACGTTCCTTGTTTGGTGTTGCTTTTTATTTCATCAAATTGGCTTTAGGCGATCCAGAGATTTGCTTTAGTAAACACAGACACTCAAAATGGACTTTTTACCACTTTCGGATTGAAAGGGTGACAATTACTTCAGGTTGTTTGAAATGTTACAGGCGAAATGCACTGAACAAATTCATTAGGTCTAGTGATCTGACTAGAAAGTGGTACAAACTCGGTTAGATTGCTTGTGTTTACTGAGAATACCTAAAACAAAATCATATAGAAAGCGGCATGAGGCCAAGCATTTTCTGTCTAAAACCATTTGAGTTATACGCACTGCACTGTCAATTGGCACTTTAAACGTACGTCAAAAATGGATGGGATTTGTTCGTACCCTTTCACAAAGGCATCTTTCAAAAATTAGGAATTCACGACTTAACGGCTATTTTTAAGAAAGTTCGTTGTTAACAGTCCTATTCCTAGTTATGCTATTCGGCAAGGTACAATTAAAGAGCTCTATTGCAGGTTGCCTACACAGTATAACTTACTTTCATTACCGCGTTATATAATGCGAAAACATAAGGCATTCTAACGCGCTAATTGAAAGTTGATGTAGGCGTGAAACGTGTGAAAACAATGAAATTCCCTAGCAGCATGCTGTGCTCTCTATATGCAATGACAGCTGGACAGTGTTGAAATCGATTGTAACCTAATCCATGTGTTATATTGCCGTGGCGGTGTATTTTGCACACATTTGGAACACACCTTGTGTTCATATTTGCCTAGGACAGGCAATACATGTATAAAATTTAATTGTATTTTTTACTAAATACTAAATAAAAATACTTTTCATTTAAAAAATTGACATTGATACAGCCCAATAAGAAGATGCGAATAATTAGTGTGGTTTTAGAGTTGATCTGCTGAAAAAGGATGCTCTTAAATTTCTATCCGCCCTGAGCAGAGACACCCCCTCATCGGTTGAAAAGAGCCATGCTGGGATACCGGGAACGTATAACTTGTTATGGGTCGTAGTAAGTGGCAATCAGCATGCAACATGGCGACGTCCATGTATGTTCTTTGGTCGTTAATGCTTGCATAACTAGGCTGCATTCTGTTCTAGTCAAAAAAACAAAACAAAACAAACAAAACATTCATTTATGTGTTATGGGAGGTTATTAATGTTAATATTGCAAAACTTCCCTTTGTCTTTGGCTTTGTATCTCGCCATTTTGCTACTTGTTTTGGCTATTCAGAAATAAAAATCCGTGTGTTCGTGCAGAACCCTGACGAGGAGGTTGTGTGTGATCGTGTTCCGAGAACAGTGTTCTTGGGTCGTGTTCCCGCTGTTTGAGTGCGAGAACAAGAAACCTGTGTCAAGAACAGGCCGCCCAACCATAGAGTGTCGGCTTACAGAGAACAGACGTAAAAATTTTACGTTTGAGACACTGGGAACATTTAATGTTTCATGTAAACGGTGTGAAATAAACGAGACAAAGCTTCAGTAACCTATACTGCTTCTTTAAGTCTCTGATTTGTCTTTGCTTTCTCCGACAATTTTCAGCCAGAGCCAAGGAACCTCTTCCCCGCTTGATGAGTTATACATTTAACAACTCAGGTGGACCACACTCGCCACCACACGGTCCAACTGCCCAGCTATCGCCAGCACCCACGGGTCTCGCCAAGTCAAGGGAATCCCCCCTGGATTACGAGTTCGTGATCGCCCACTATAACGAGGGACTGGATTGGCTGAGGCCCATTGCCAACCGCAGTCACGTGTACCATAAGGGCAAGGACGAAACCCCGCCCTTCGCGATCCGGAAGTGGGAAAGGTTGCCCAACGTTGGTCGCGAGGCCCACACCTACCTTTACCACATCTTGAGCAATTACGAAAGCCTTGCCGACGTGACCGTCTTCTTGCAAGGGCACGGCTCGCGTCCTGACGTCCCTTTCTGCTATCCCGAGCCCATGGATTTCGTGGTCCATGCCAAGAAAAATGTGTTCTGCATCGAAAGCTTTAAATACAGCAACTGGAACCGCATCAATCACATTGGGAAATGGCGAAAGGACTTGGATGCAGGTCGCATGCGCAGGGCCAACCTCACGGTGGGAGAGTTCTACAAGACTTTGTTCGGTTCCCCTCATCCTGATCAAGTGATCAGATGCTCCGTGGGCTGTTTCTCGGCCACCAGGGAAAATCTCAGGCGGCACCCGCCTGGGTTCTATCGGACGGCCATTTCGTTTCTGGATGACCACAGCAACCCGGAAGAAGGTCATTATATGGAAAGGTTTTGGAAAATTATCATTACACCGGAGTGACAAGTTATTGAGTTTCAAAATAGTTTGTCAGAGCTCTGAAGCAGGCTGAAATGACGCTGCTTGGCAGCAGGAACCTATGCGTGTCGGCAGGGTTCTCGCCAAGATTCTCCCGGTGAGAGCAAATCACTTACAACCAGCAACCGATAAACCATTAACGGTGAAGGGGGAGGGGAAGTTATTTCCGTTGTATTTTGAAGGAATTTTGTGGTTTTAATCCCGATCCCGTATTAATTTTCTACAGCTCTTGGTTTTCCATTGGCCCTATTAAATTTCAGTTGTTCTCCAAGAGGAGACGATTGTCCTCTTGTTCCCCTTGCTACTCCCATGCCTTTGTTTCTGCATACAATTGGGGACCCTGACCAATAGAGGACAGTAAGGTCCCAGATTGACAGAGGGTCCCCGATTGACAACTGTGTACAAAACATATGGGTGGTCTTC